CCCTTTCCTCCCCAAGTTGGTACTGGTCAGAGTGTTTTGTCACAGCAATGAAAAACAAACTAAGACACTGCCATTGGCTAGAACCTAAGCAAAAAGACTACTTCCTGTCTCTAATGAATTTTCTTCCCCTGAGAGAACTGTGTGACACTATTCCTGGGAAGATGTGAACAAATGTCTACTCATTCTAGATAGGGAAACAACAACAGATCAAAGTAAGGATACCACCAAAATCAGACTTGGTGAACCAATGAGTTTCATCCAGGTTACCTACAAGAGTAGAAATGATGCAAAAATAGCTGCATCACCAACATCCTTCCTCAGTATGGATGATAGCTCATGGGAGCCGGAAACCTGGAGTGCACTGCACAACCTGCAGGTAGCCTGACAGGCTGAAGAGTGTCTCTTCTGGATGGATCAGATAGTCTGGGCTTCTTCCAGGGCTGATCCTGCCTGGTCTCTCTCTGCCTCTTGTAGGCAGTTTGGCTAGTTGTTGCTAATTCCAGGTGGCTTGGCTGATCTGAGCCTCTTCTAGGTGGCTCAGGTTATCTGAAAGTCCTTAAGCATTTGTTTTGTCTTGAGTCTCTCTCAGCAGTCCTTGGGGCTTAAATAAATAAGCTTGGGCTTGGGGAACTGGTGACTCTCCCTGTTTTAGGGACTTCCTGAAGCTTTTAAGCTGTTTACTTTCTGAACGTAACAAGCTGCAGTGGTACTTGCTATGAAGACCATGTTGGCCTTGATCTCACAGAGCTCTGCCTGCCTCTGCCTCCCAAGTGCTGGGACTAAAGGCATATGCCACCACACTAATTTTTTTTTTTTCCTGCATGTTTTTATGTTTGTCTTCATATTCTTTTTGTGTGCTTTTGTTACCGTTCCTGGTTGTGGTGGTTTGAATGAAATCATCCCCCATAGGCTCCAAGTATTTGGACATTTTGTCCCCAGATGATGGCGCTGTTTAGGGAGGTCTTAGAAGGTGTGACTATCCTGGAGGAAGCACGTCACTGGGGGTGGGCTTAGAGAGTTGTTAAGCCTTGCCAGATCTCCAATTGCTCTCTTGCTTCCTGTGCCTGCTTGAAGATGTGAGAGCTTAGCTTCTGCTGCTCCTGTTCCAGCCACCTCCAGTCACCATGCCTCTCCACCATGATGAGTTGTAATTCCCCTGGAACCGTAAGCTCAAATAAACTCTTCCTTTTATAAGTTGCTTTGGTCAGTGTTTCTATCACAGCAACAGAAAAGTGACTAATACACTGGTGTTAGGAAATCTGTGATGTTCTCTGTAGCTCGACGATCTTATTTTCTTTCCTCTGCTGTTCCTCCCTATTCTCCTATTTCTAACTTTCTATTCAGTAATTTTAAACTGACGTTTTTCTACTATATATTCTATTACTTGCTTAAGTTCTCAATTCTTAATTTAAAACAGCTGATGAATAGGTGATGTCATTGTTCTCTGCTTCCATAAACTAAGTTCATTTCACATGTGGAACCACACCTGAATGTTGTCCTAACAACAATAAGGGGAAAGAAAAATTCCCCTCACCCAATGTACAAATACCTCTACCTATGGGACTTCATTATAAATACCATAAAGTTCCATGATTTGCCTCCTCTGCCTATATTTTTTATCTGAGTTGAATTCAATCCTGTGTCTAATTCAGCCAGCCATCAGTTGAACATGGAAGAATGGAGACCTAACTTCACGGCTAGAATTCCAGGCATTTTACATATCCTTCAACCATAATTGAGGCAGCATCTGAAAGGACCGGTTCCTGAAATGGTCAGATCTATAGTCAGCATGGACTACAGGCTGTAGCACCACATCGGTGTCTGTGAATGGTTTGAAAGCAGAAGAAACTGAAAATTCTTTGGTTAGACAGATGATCATCTCTGTCTTTCTGAGGTACAGATAGCATTCCCCAGAGAAATTTCAGTTATCCACAGTTAGTTTTGAGGTTCCTACATTCTGTAAATTCATACATACTATAGTTCTCACTTAGAACGTAATTCTTAGAATTTTATGAAACCACCAGATCCAAATTTAACATTTTCACCAGGTGAAAATGTTACAGAGTTTGAAACCACTGGGAAAGGACCACCAGACCCAATTCAAATTTTAATTGGTCAAATTTATTAGGGCTATAGCCAGCTGTGATCCCCTAGTCAGATTCAGGACTCACAGCCCCAAGGGGAGGGAGAAACTAACTTATAAAGGCAAAAACCACAAAGACCTTGACAGTAAGGCACTCTGAGTACTATTGTTATTTAGGCTTTTTGGCTAGGCAAGAAGCACAGCTGCGGTGTCTGGGAGGTGACCAAGGTCAGCTACTCCAAAGAAAGCGCTCTTCTAAGGGGAAGCAACTAAGTTCAAGAGCTTAACCTTGAGGCTGGCTGTTTTTCTAGCCTTTGAAATTTAGAGTGGCTGCTTTACACAGAGTGAAGAAAATGGAGTTACTTTGGCTATTACAATTTGGGGGACTCCATTTGGGGCCATCACAAAAATACTAACTCAATGAAAGTTAAGGAATTTATTAATGGAAAGGTCAGAAAGATTCTTTCAAGAATTATTTCACACTTCGTGATAATCTTGCAGAACTATATAAAAAAAAGACATTTCAGTAATAGTCACACTGGGAAACAAACACATCACTGCAGGAAAATAGTTTGAAAAGACTTGCACTCCACAAAATAGTGAGCAGATTAACTTGCTGCCTGGAAACCAGTCAAATTAAAGGGTGCCACCCCCCTACCCTCTTGGCCGAGCATCATTCCTGGGCATTTACCTGAATCCTCTCTTAGCCGTGAGAGGAATGCTCTAATAAGCGTCTTTGGATGGGGCTGAGCAGCAGAGGAGTAAATGATCACTAGCCTGTTTCTTAGGGCTGTTGACTGCTTAGTTGAGTGGGGCACAAAGTTTGAGGTGGTGCCGTCGAGATGCTGAAGGCTGTCCCCAATGTTCTCTCATGTCTCTGCCCTTTCTCATAGTGACAGAGGTTCTTTGGTCTTTATTCTAGATATAGTATATCCATTTTCCCAACAGTTCAAATATTTTCTCTTTATTTTCTATGGACAAGGTTGACTTTGTAGCCAGTTGAGCAATGGGATTTTGGCTTTGTCTTAGCTTTAAAGCATTTGTCTTTAGCTTTAAAAGATTTCTTTTCTGCATCTATGAAATGGGCTTTGTAACAGGATTAAAGGTGACAACACATATCTAGTGCCTGGGAAACATAGGGAGTATATAATCAGTGTGGCCAGAGGGAAGGGAACAGAGGGAGCTCTGCTTGCACTCCACCTCACTCCAGGGAGTCTCACTCCACATATTCAGCTTCCAGGGCCCCTGACTGACTGACTGACTGACTGGAAGGAAAGTGGATGATACTAGAGGCTTTGTTCTTCCTGTGGGTGCCACAGCCCCCATGCTTGCTGTTAAGTCCTGCAAACTGGTTTCTCCTGTTAATGGGTATCCTTGTAAGGCTACAGAGTACACCCCATATGCCTTCTGAGGAGGAACATCATCAGCTAGTTGAAAATGAGTGTTGGCATCAAAGATTGTGTTTGAATCCTGGCTCTATTCTCCCCCCCCCCCATTATTTGTAAAAGCCTGAGCAACAGTCCCAGTTTACCTCAACTGTAAAACTGGGATAATGTTAGTTTTCATCTCAGAAAGTTTAATGAGGCATTAACTATGGTTATTAGGGGATTTTTCTGGGTCTAGTGTCCTTGTGATGTTCTTTAAAAAGCACCCATAAATCAGAGGAGCTGCAATGCCTGGCGGACCCTGGTCACGGTGCTGACTGGGTTCAGGAGTACCAAGGGGCAATGTCCTATGCGTCTGTGTCTGGACTGTTCAGCACCAACAGTGCACGGGAGTCCTCCAAGAACTGAGGTTTTTCAGATGGCCTGTGACAGGAGTCTAGGACAGACACAGAAAATGGATATCACACATCCCTCCATGAGAAAAATGCTCAATCAAGGGTGAGGCATGGAATAGGGACCATGACAGAAAAGAATAAAACACATAGTGTGCAACGGTTACATGTCCATATTCAGGAAGTGAAGGGCTTTCTGGCCACACCCAAGACTTGTAAGAAGCTAAGGGACACACTAAGGCACACACTCTCTAAGGGATGGGGCTGCAAAGTGATCCACAAAGTGAGGCCCAAACACAGACCTAAGGAAAAAGAAGTGTAAGCTATTACATTTTCATGGGTTTGAGGCCAGGCAGATTTGACTATCTTTGTCTACACAGGAACAGGATACATACATAGCTGGAGAAGGGAGGCACCGACAGGATGAACGATTTCAGTCTCAAATATGGGCTC